GTACGCTGGATCTGAACACCCAGATCTCTCTGTGCATCAATTTTCCCCAGGACTTTTGCATTTACCGTATATTTCGCTCTTGAATTGGATCTTCCAAAATGCATCACCTCGCATTTGCCTGGATTGAACTCCATCTGCCATTTCTCCGCCCAACTCTCCAATCTATCTATATTCTGCTGCATTCTCCGACAGTCCCCTTCACTATCTGCCACTCCGCCAATCTTAGTGTCACCTGCAAACTTGCTAATCAGACCATCTATACCTTCCTCCAGATCATTTATGTACATCACAAACAACAGTGGTCCCAACATGGATCCCTGTGGAACACCACTGGTCACAGTTCTCCATTTTGAGAAACTCCCTTCCACTACAACCCTGTCTCCTGTTGCCCAGCCAGTTCTCTAGGCATCTAGCTAGTACACCCTGGACCCCACGTGACTTCACTTTCTCCATCAGCCTACCATGGGGAACCTTATCAAACACCTTACTGAAGTCCATGTATATGACATCTACAGTGCTTCCCTCATCTATCAGCTTTGTCACTTCCTCAAAGAATTCTATCAAGTTGGTAAGACATGACCTTCCCTGCACAAAACCATGCTGCCTATCACTAATAAGCCCATTTTCTTCCAAATGCAAATAGATCCTATCCCTCTATCTTCTCCAGCAGCTTCCCCACCACTGACGTCAGGCTCACCGGTCTATAATCACCTGGATTATCCTTGCTACCCTTCTTAAACAAGGGGACAACATTAGCAATTCACCAGTCCTCCGGGACCTCACCCGTGCTCAAGGATGCTGCACAGATATCTGTTAAGGTCCCAGCTATTTCCTCTCTTGCTTCCCTCAGTAACCTGGGATAGATCCCATCTGGACCTGGGGACTTGTCCACCCTAACGCCTTTTAGAATACCCAACACTTCCCCCGCCCCGCCCCCCATGTCGACTTTACCTAGAGTAATCAAACATCTATCCCTAACCTCAACATCCGTCATGTCCTTCTCCTCAGTGAATACTCATCAAGAATCTCACTCATTTTCTCTGACTCCTCGCATAACTTCCCTCCTTTGTCCTTGAGTGGGCCAACCCTTTCTCTAGTTACCCTCTTGCTCCTTATGTACGAATAAAAGGCTTTGGGATTTTCCTTAACCCTGTTTCCTAAAGATATTTCATGACCCCTTTTAGCCCTCTTAATTCCTCATTTCAGATTGGTCCTACTTTCCCGATATTCTTCCAAAGCTTCATCTGTTTTCAGTCGCCTAGACCTTATGTATGCTTCCTTTTTCCTCTGTGCTAGTCTCAATTTCACCTGTCATCCATGAGTTCCCTAATCTTGCCCTTTCTATCCCTCATTTTCATAGGGACATGTCTGTCCTGCACTCTAATCAACCTCTCTTTAAAAGCCTCCCACATATCAAATGTGGATTTACCCTCAAACAGCTGCTCCCAATCCACATTCCCCAGCTCCTGCCAAATTTTGCTATAGTTGGCCTTCCCACAATTTAGCACTCTTCCTTTAGGACCACTCTCGTCTTTGTCCATCAGTATTCTAAAACTTACTGAATTGTGATCACTATTCCCAATGTAATCCGCTACTGAAACTTCAACCACTTGGCCGGGCTCATTCCCCAACACCAGGTCCAGTATGGCCCCTTCCCGAGCTGGACTATTTACATACTGCTCTAGAAAACCCTCCTGGATGCTCCTTACAAATTCTGCTCCGTCTAAACCCCTAACACTAAGTGAATCCCAGCCAATGTTGGGAAAATTAAAATCTCCCATTACCACCACCCTGTTGCTCCTACATCTTTCCATAATCTGTCGACATATTTGTGCCTCTATCTCACGCTCGCTGTTGGGAGGCCTGTAGTACAGGCCCAATATTGTTACTGCACCCTTCCTATTTCTGAGCTCTGCCCATATTGCCTCACTGCTCGAGTCCTCCATAGTGCCCTCCTTCAGCACAGCTGTGATATCCTCTTTGACCAGTAATGCAACTCCTCCACCCCTTATACCTCCCTCTCTATCCCACCTGAAGCAGCTATATCCTGGGATATGAAGTTGCCAATCTTGCCCTTCCCTCGACCAAGTCTCAGTAATAGCAATAACATCATACTCCCAGGTACTAATCCAAGCCTTAAGTTCATCTGCCTTACCTACTACACGTCTCGCATTAAAACAAATGCACCTCAGACCACCTGTCCCTTTGTGTTCATCATCTGCTCTCTGCCTACTCTTCCCCTTCGTCACACTGACTTCATTATCTAGTTCCTTACAGGCTTTAGTTACTACCTCCTTACTGTCCACTAACCTCCTCATTTGGTTCCCATCCCCCTGCCACATTAGTTTAAACCCTCACTAACAGCATTAGCAAAAGCACCCCCTAGGACATTGGTTCCGGTCCTGCCCAGATGCAGACCATCCGATTTGTAATAATCCCACCTCCCCCAGCGCTCGGTTTGTGAAAACTTCCAGACTGAGTGTTTGGTCAGTAATCGACACTGGTTGGTCAAAGACGAAAAAGTCTAAGATCTCAGTGGTGAGAGGATTTAAGGAAGACACTTTACAACTCACTGGGCAGGAAATGTTTGGGGGGGCGGTGGGGAGGTGGAGAAAAGTGGTTAAGTCAAACCTATAGTTTGGACAGGAGGGGAAATCTTCTCTGGTTTTTTGAGTAACTTTACATTTATGATTTGGGGAGTAGATGGGAATTTGTTTGACATGCCCTTGAAATCTTTCAAACTGTCATATTAAGACAGTTTGTTTTTTTTTCATTATTTGTCTTCTTTTTATTGTTAGTGAGATAGACTTCTTTTTATTGTTACAACTAAATCTGATGCCTTGTTTGTTTTATTTCTGATTTAATGTGACAGGATTTCACTGAAACACAAACAATTTCATCTATTAAGTCAGATTTTATTCTGGGATCCAACTTGTCCAGTAGTAACACAAGCTGGGATCATAACAGCATTCACTGACCTATATTGACCCCTAGTTCAGCATGCCTCAATTTTAAAGATTCTCAGTTTTAAGGAGAAAAATATATGGATGATAATGGAATAGTTTAGGTTAGATGGGCTTCAGATTGGTTTCACAGGTCGGCGCAACATCGAGGGCCGAAGGGCCTGTACTGCGCTGTAATGTTCTATGTTCTAAATACTGCCGCGCTCTCTTCCCTCCTTATTTCTGTCGTCTCCTTCAGCACTACAACTCTCCAAGATCTTTGCACCTTCCAATTCTGGCTCACGTATTCAATTTTAATTGCCCCACCATAGGCAGCCATATCTTTTGCAGCCAAAGCCAAAAAAATCTATTTTGCTCCCCAAGACGCACTGCCTCTCTGAAGATGGTCCAGCATATTACTTGGATTAAGTTTTTGTTCATTGCATTCATATCTCATTAGGTGGCTCAATGTCAAATTTTACTTAGATACCCTTGTGAAGAACGTGGGATGTTTTAACACGAGTTATTATTGAAATACACCTCAAAATTACTTGCTGATATCTGACCTTGGAATGTGGATTCACAATAGATACAAAAATGAATGGAGAAGGATTTAGTTTCTCCTGACTGACATATCTTTATCTCTGCTCAAGAATCTCAAACGAAATAAAACAATGGACAAGACTACTGAAAGATTTTTGTTCAAGTTATCCTTCAGTTGCATCATGAATATCATGTTCATAGTATGCAATGGAAGATATGATCAATGGAAATAAGTAATAAGTACAGCTATTTCTGTTCAAAGTAAAGCACCAATGTCTACAATGCAAACTGGTAATAAATACTGTTTATTTGATCAATTTCAGAGAATGCCCATTTAAAACATTGATAGTTTTAGTGTAGTCTACATCGGTGTGCTTTAACCATTGATCCTCATCCTGACCATAAAATTATCCTTCTTTCATCTTTGTTTAAAAAAATCTATCATGCATTCATATAGCAATCACAAAGACCCTAGTGCATAACCACACTATAAATTTGATTGTTGAATTATGATAATCACCAATATGTAGGCAAGTATGCAGAGTCTATGGTTCCACAAGTAGCAAATATAAGGAAGTAATGTATAGATAATCTGTTTCAGTGACACTAAGAGACAGAACTTGCTACTTTCCTGAATAGCATGATAGAATATTTTATATCTACTTGATCAAGCAGATGAGAAGATTACCATGTAATATCATCCCAACAATATAACATGAGCCAAATTATATGTTCACTTTGACAGTACAACCAGGATTTATCAAACAAGTTAACCAGACTACAGGCAGAAGAAACAACAATACTTAGGACTAAGAAACCTGTAAAAAACATACATTTCACATAAATAAATCTTCACGATATAATGAATCCCTTTTTAATGCTAGGATCTGCATTCAAAGTTAGTCCATTCCAAAAGACTACTACTCTACAATGGATCTGACCATACTATAATTGAACTACGTTCATAAAATGATTTTTTTCCTTAGCATCAGTATCTCTTGCTTTAAAGATCATATAATTCTCTTCACTGAATAATATTATTTTAAATTCATAACACTAACTAAAATTAAATGAAAAGCTATCAATTATTCTGAAATGTTATATTATGTAGACTAGAGGTTTGCTTCTCAGTCATATATGGCTCCATGTGTGCCAACAGTCCTCGTCTCCTCACCCAAATGGCCAATACTCAAGTGATCTAGACAGAATTAGCAGGGAACTCAATTGTGAGGGCAAATTTACACCCAATTTGTCCTCAACTGATGCGTTCATACAGTAAGATCATGGGATCATGACCAACAAAAATCCTTTATGATTTTGTTTGGTCCAAAGATATGGAAGTAGATTTTAGCATCTTTTCATTTGCCCAGCTGATATTAGCTAACACATCACCAGGGATGAAACCAGGACCATGGTCCTTTTGGCTTAGTTCCACACAGACTGTCCATTTCCCCATTTAGTCTTTGGGAATCTAAACTGTACAAGTTATTTTAATCTTAAGCTATAAATCCTTACCCCTGCCTCCGTTAAATATGCAGATACCCCCGTCTCGGCCATCATGGATTTTGTTCCGTCTGAGTGTGGGATTACTGTCTGTTTTAATCCAAACACCGGCCATTGCATTGTCAAATATTTCATTATCTTCTATAAACCCAAGACCTGTATTAATTGACATCAAAAATAATTTCACTTGGATCTGAAATTGAGGAGAAAATAAAAAAAAAACAGAAAAACAATAATCAAGAGACCTGCAGCCAAAATGGACACTTACCAGAATTGTAAACAAGAATGCCACCATTCTGCCCTCCCCATATTTTATTGCGTCGAATCTTAGGGTTGCTTCCAGTTCTGTGGATCATAAATTATAAGTGATCCTAAGATTAATGTCTTACAATGCCATGAAATACTTGAAAGAATTCAACTCCCAATTAGTGCTCATTTTCTGACTGGGTCAAGCACTGGATAATAACTGCATTCTTTTTGAGTTTGTTTCGGACAAAGTACCTCACTGATGATTCTAAACTTTCAAAATCAGAATTTTGTACCGTTAGTACACCATGTAGAGTGCTGGCAAGCACAAATTGTTTTGAAGCCTCAATAAAATCCACACCTTCACTTCTTGCCTGGAAATTTCTCTCATTTAGTATGCTACTCATGACATCGGGCATAGAAGGACTTCTGCGTCTCCTCAAAACATTACCATTTGAATTGACCTACCAGTTATTGCAGAATGCAGAACAGAACAGATCTCTAGAAGATAAAGATGACAAACTACAAAAGAATAAAATGATGCCTTATACAACTAATGACAGCACTCAATACAAAACTAAAGTTAAAAAAACTGCCATTTTCTGTGCTCTAATCAAATCATTCTTTTGACTTGCATACAACTAATGATGTAGAAAATAAATGCTTCCACATAACAACAGTGTCTTCAATTCTATACATAACATATACCATGTTTGCTAGTCACAGCACGAAATGACCTAAGCATCCATGGATTACAGAAAGAAAAATGCCTAGCCACAGATCCTGCATTTGTGTGTAAAAGATTTTTTTTTAATCCATTCATGGGTTGTGGGCATCAGTGGCAACGTCAGCTTTTACTGTCCATCCCCAACTGCCCTCGAAGGGGTGTGTGGGACACTGTCTTCTCAAATCATAGCAGTATGAAGGAATTGCCATAATTCTGTTAGGAAGAGAGCACCAGGGTTTTAACCCAATATACAGACGTGGAAGGGGGCAGGATTGAACTGATTTACTCCACACAATCACTGCCCAGGCTATTTGGACAATGCAAGAGGACAGCCAGCATGCTCTGTCACAATTTAAGAGAGCACCAAGACAGAAGACAAAGATAGATATTGAAGCTAGAACCCCGATGAAGGTGAACATTTTTCTTACCTAATCTGAACCCCTGAATACATATGATTGTAGATATCATTGTCTTCAAGCACTCCATGGCCATTGTCATAGAAGTAAACACCCACCTTATGAAACAAACACTCTGTCATGAATATTGTCAATACTGCTGAACCTCGAGATTTAATAAAACATGTATATGAATTGATACATACCTGCTTGCCACTATGTATTCGGTTTCTCCGTAGCACTGGTGTACTTCCTGTTGTCACCCACACACCTGCCAGGGTATTGCTGTATACTTCATTTTCTTCAATTACACCCTGTCCCTTTTCATGCTAAACAACAAACGTTAAACGTTTAAAACACAGATCAACATGGGTCTCTTCTCACCATTTCAAAATCTATAAATATGTAAATACAATTTCTCCTCAGATGTTACACATGACCTATTTCAATTTGTGTAGAATACAAATGTTTTCTCTCTACAGTCTTCCTCCTCTAAAATGATATCAGTTTTCCAAACGGCAATTTTTTTGTTGTCTTCTCAGCTTTCAGAAATCCTTAAAAGAATACCAGACACCATGGTAACAGGTAGATCATTTTACAGCAACAGTGGCTGCAATTACAACAAAAATCACACTCAGGACAATATTACCAGGTAATCTAAAAATTATGTGCAACCGTTACAGGCTGGAAACCTAAAAGAAAATCCTAATACACAAATCAATTAGAAACATAGGGAGAGGAGTCCAGTTTACAGAAATTTCAGCTATATACTTGTTGATTATTTTTACATTTCCAGCATTTTGTATTTTATTTCAGACTTCCACCATGCAGCTTTCATCGTATACTTTCATGAACGTGCACTTAAACAGTAACATAAATCATATAGATTCCAAGGGTCTACTTGACAGATAACAATCTAGCTGAAACCAGGTTAGCTACAATCAATTAATGAAAAGACACAGGTTATCACTGCCAAGCTAAAGAATTCAAGTTAGTTTAACAAGGAATCATAAATTTAGCCTCCAGTTTCAAAGCTTTTTAAGAACAACCAAGCAATATTATGACTTTAATTTCTTTTCCTAAACTCAATACAGCCACATACCTTCAGCCTCTCTTACCCAATCATTCCAAAAAGTACACAAGTTACAGACTTACCACGTAGATACCGCCATGTTGACCATCATGAATTTTGTTGTGACGCACAATTGGACAACTATTTGTTCTAATCTGTATTCCTGCTAATGCATTTCCTAGGATACAAGATACAAGATACACATTTTTAAAGAATTATGTACATTGATTAAAATATACACGTTACTAAAATGTTTATATTCATCTTACCGTAAATGTCATTCCCCTCTATGAGACCCCTGCCATCTCCAAAGATATAAACTCCACCCTGATTGCCATTAAAAATGGCATTTGCCCTAAGGATGTAAACAGAGAAAACATATGAAAATACCTAGCAAGTACACATTTAACTCAATAACTCTGACAATGCCCAAAAGCTTACCTGATAGTTGGATCACTGTTGGATGTAATCCACACACCAGCAAAATTGTTTGCATAGATTTTGTTCTCTATGAATTGGCCTCGTCCTTTCTCATGGACATAAATTCCTCCTGTTTGCCCATGGTGAATTTCACATCTCACTACTGTAGGATTCGCATAGGCCTTCACTTCAAAACCAGCTATTCGATTACGATGAATGTTACAGCTTTCAAAGTAACCCTGAAATAAATAAAATCAAAATTTAACAATTATTCACATTCAAAATTAGCACATCAAATGAAAATTCAATAATGAAAATTGGGAGCTATACATATTATAGACAGTATCAATATTTATACCTCTCTGACATCTTTAAATTTAAGCTAGAGGAAACTAAGAAAACTGAACTCTCCATTCCACCCCCAAATAATGTAAAAAGGTTATTTTGAAATCACCTCCACCTTCCCTCTCAATACTATATTTACAAAAGTTTGGAGAATACGATTTGTGCACCATGATTCAATTTTAATACACCCATTGAAATTCCACTGAACACACCCAAGCTCTTCACAATGACAAAGAAGTTGGACAAACCTCCTCTCGTTTCCTCATTAGGCACTAAGTTTTACTCTGATCAGAACTTAAGCTGGAGACTGCCCTCATTCAACCTCAACATTTACTCTGCTGAATGAAGAATTAACTAATTAAATCCAAAACCATTTGTACAATCATGCTATATAACACCATTAATATTCAATTCTTGACAGACCCAAATAGCTTGAAATACAGTTCAGACTTGCTCAGTGTCGATTTATGCAAATTCTTATCTGGCATGTAAACCTAAGTTAAAGCAGAGAACAATTCTTTCTTCCTCTAGTTGGCTGAACAAATGTATTGACAGGAGCCAACAAAACCATATTTAAAATGCAGCTAAAATAAAAGTAATTAAATTTCACTTACAAAAGTGCTAAAAAGTTAACCACTTCAAGCTTACAAATTAAGAGAAGACAAAAACTACAGTGAACCAAGTTAAGAAACCCAAGGTGCCAATTTAGATTCCTCTTCTGTCCCCTTCAACATTCTTCCCTCTGCTCTCAATCCTGAAATGACATGCCCCAATGGAATTCAAAATTTAGGCTCTTCATTCATCTACCTAGCTTCCCTTTGTTGCGTCCAATCACTAGATTTTTTTTTCCCCCAAAGCCAACTCCCATCTTCCTCTAACTCAAACTCCTTTGCTTCCTGAGACCAAGCACCTGTTCTCCTTACCATCTCCTAGCCATTCAACTAAAAACATTGCACAGAAACATGCCGTTCAGTCCACCATGTCTGTGCCAAACATGTCATTCTAAACTAATCTCATCCACTTGCACACAGTCCATATCTTTCTACTCCCTGCTTGTTCATGTGTCTAAATGCCTCTTAAACACTGTTATCACATCTGCTTCTACCATCTCCCCTGGCAACACCTTCCAGGTAACTACCACCCTCTGTGTAAGATAAAACACTTGCCTCATATCTCCTTTAAACGTTCCTCCTCTCACATTAAACCTATGTCCCTGAGGATTTGACATTTCCACCCTGGGATAAAGACTCCAACTATCCACCCTATCCATGCCCCTCAATTTTATACATTTCTATCAGATTGCCCCTCAGCCTCCATCACTCTAGTGGAAACAATCCAAGTTTGTCCAACATCTCCTTACAGTCAATATGCTCCAAGCCAGGCAACATCTGGTTAAACTCTTTTCACCCTCCCCAAAGTCTCTGTATCCTTCCTATAGTGTAGCAACCAAAGTTGCACATCCTTCAAATGTGGCCTAACTAAAGTTTTATACAGCTGCAACATGACGTGCTAATTTTTATACACAATGCCCTGACTGATGGAGGCAAGCATACCAATAAGTCTCCTTTACAACCTTACTCACTTGTGTTGCCACTTTCTGGGAGCTATGGACTTGCATCCCAAGATCCCTTTGCATATCAATGCTCCTAAAGGTCTTGCCATTTATTGTATACTTTCATCTTGGATTTTTCCTCCCAAAATGCATCACCTCACACTTGGAGTTTAATCTGACAAGTGCCATATCTCCACCCAGCTTTCCAAGTAATCTATATCCTGCTACAACCCTTGATTCCTCACTATCCACAATTCCACCAGTTTTCATGTCATTAATCAACTGATTGGTTCAATACTCAACAACAGTTGCACTGCATAAAGAATACTGCCCATCTCTTCACAAGTGTTCACCATTAAACAAAACCAATTCATAAACCTGGGCAAAAGACAGTGGTTGACACTTCATTGGAGTACTATTTTATTGGATGAGGTGGAGGTGCTGATGTTGGACTGGAGCGGACAAGGTCAAAAATCACACGACACCAGGTTCTGGCCCAACAGGTTTGTTCAAATATACTAGCTTTCGGAGCCCTGCTCCTTCCTCAGGTGTAGTGTGGAATAGGTGGTTTACAGATACAGAATTTATAAGCAGATAGGTAACAACCCTAAAAAGGGCTCGCTGATCACCTCCTGTTGAATCTTTAATCAGTTAGAAAGGAGACAGGTTTCCACTAAAATTAATTTCATTCAAGTAATTGCCCAGAGATAATTAAAGGTTTTATCAGTATAAACAAGAGTTGACATCTCGAGTTGGTCAATGCATTTTTGGTGTGAGGCCTCATTTAGGATCTGTGTTTTAACCTGGAGTCAGACTAACACACACACACACACACACACACACAAGCACGCACACTTACACAGACCCTTCTCACTCACACACTTCCTCTCAACCTCACTCTCCCAAGCGCACGCGCGCACACTCTCTCTTTCTCGTGCACACACACAGACACACACGAATTATTCCATCCAAGATGTTTGTGTAGCTGCAAATACATTCTGTTTTGCTCAAAAAAAAAACCTGACTCCAGTTTAAAACATAGGCAGATTCCAAGCAAGACCTCACACCTAAAATGCTGACCTGAGATGTCACCTCTTGTATACATTGATAAAAACAATAATTATCTCAGGATAATGATGTGAAAAGAATCTAGATTTGGATTTCAATCAGTAGTCTCCTTCTTAACTGATTAGGAGATTCAACAAGAGGCAGCCAGTTTTAGGGTTGTTACCTTCGTGCAGAGCTCCGAAAGCTAGTGTTTTCAAATAAACCTGTTGTACAAAACCTGGTGTTGAGATTTTTGACCATATCTTATTGGATACTGACTTGCAGACAAGATGTTAACTGCATACATGCCCTTTGATAATGTGGATGTGAATCGTCACAAGAGACTACTTCAAAGAATAGGGGAGTTCTCTTTCAGAATCCACACAAATACTTCCCCTAAGTCAAGATCACAAAAAGAGATTATTTGGTCATTATCACATTGCTGTTTCTGGGAGCTTGTCGTGCATTAATCAGCGGTCATATTTCCCACATTACAACTTAGTACACTTGAAGAGTAGCTCATTGGTAACAAAAGCACTCTGGAACATTTTGGGGTCATAAAAGTGCTGCCAAAAATACAAATTTCTTTCCCCTTCTCCAACAAACATTTAAATAAAAACCGAAACGTTAACTCTGATTTTTTTTCTTCACATATGCTGTCAGACCTGCTGAGCGTTTCCAGCAACTTCTGTTTTTGTTCAACATTCTAAATGCATTTTTATCAAAATGTCAGCCTACTCTTTCCAGCCTTCAATGTTCAAATGCCTTCAATTCAGGATATATTCTGCCCAATAGCAGATGCCACTCAAAAATATTGATGCAACTACAACACGTTGTGTTATTCCTCTAATTTCTCTGCAAACTTCAGGGTGGTTGATTACTCCACTTGATGTCAATGCTCTTTTACCTGGTACCAATTCAATCTGTTTCAATGTAACCGTTATATCACCTGCAATGGCTCATCCTGCATTTGTGAGCTCCAATGTTCCACTTCCATTGTGTCCTTATAGTCATCTACAGACTGCTTCTCAGTACTATTATACAAACGCATAGGTTAACATTTCTTGGGGAGATTGGCAGCAGTTATCACTAACACGCCATCACCACCCGCAATTTGGCAATCAACTAACCAAGTCCCATATGCATCAAATGTTTTTCACCTGTACATTACCAGGAACAAAACCATCTCAGCCACCAACTTTATCATCTTTCTCAGCAGCTCATTCAGATTGAACCAGATTGAGTGCAATATTGGTTTAGTGTTCAACCTGGAATTAACCCTTGACAGGTATAGTAATGTCTCAAAGAGCTTTGGTCTAAGTCAATGTGGTTTTTTGGATCTTGCTAGCTTTTTTTCAAGTGGAGCATGAATGCTGGTCATTTTAACATCTCTTCAGGTGCTAGTAGATCACTGACATTGCCTGAATTTGCTGTGGGTTCTTGATGCTACTTTTCCTTAAACATAACATTGGTAAGATGGCACTGAGAAACTTCCAGTGTTATCACGAATTTATGGCAATCATCTGGAACCCTTATAATTTTTCAGGATGTCCTTCACGGAACTTGAAACTGGTTCTGAAAACTAATTTTAGAATATTTCAAACTTGTGGATGAGTAAGCTGAAGCTCCTTTAGCTCAAAATAGCTGCAATTTTTAGCATAAGTACAGACTTTATGAACCTCAGACAGTGCAAAGAAGTCAACTTTCTCTTGTTTGTAGGCAGAGCAGCCTTGGAGGAAAATCCCTTTTTTTTTGTTACTAAGTTTATTGATGAGTCTGGAAATCATGCTGCCAAGTAGGGTTATCTGCAGTGGTTAAAGTCAAGAATCCTGTGGACCCAAGAGAAAAAAAAACTGACAGCAAAGCCAAGAATTAGTCTGGACCAATATAGCACCTATTCAAAGATGATGGAAAGATATTTAACTCATTTTAAAAGAGCTGAAATCAATTCACATAAAAAATGTCCAATTGATTGAATGGCTGAGTGAGAAAGACCACTTATATTAGTGTCTTTCACAAAACAGCCTATTTTAACATTCACCAATCACAATCACCACTTTAATCCTCATCATGTTCAGCCTCCATTTCTCCAATGATCCATCTATGTAACTAGAAGAGACAAATATAGAGAAAGCTCATTTGGCCCAAACGGCTCATGCCAATTTCAGGCCTCTCCATGAGCCGCCGCCTCCTTTTTGCTTTACAAAAACTTCAACCTTATCCAGAATTTAACATTTGCTTCTGATCACTCAGCACCTCAATTAGGAGTCCCTGGTATAGTGACTTTAAAAGTTT